TCCTTGGTTGGGCGTTTAAAGGCCTTCATGCTGTGGCCCAGTCAGTCCTTCCCAGCCTTGTTTCTTGTCAGTCCCCCGCCCTCACTCTCCATACCAACAAACGTAGCCCCATTCCCTCTTTTCCCTCCCCAGTGCCTTTGTGCTCTCCGTTGCCTGTGCCTCTCGCGTGCTCGCCCTCACCTCCACATCTTAGAATGCACAGCATCCTCCAGCTCTAAGACGCCACCTGCCCAGTGCAGTCCTTTTTTATTTTTTTTATTTTATTTTTTTTTGTTTTTAGGCAATTGGGGTTAAGTGACTTGCCCAGGGTCACACAGCTAGTATGTGTTAAGTGTTTGGTCTGAGGCCGGATTTGAACTCAGGTCCTACTGACTTCAGGGCCGGTGCTCTATCCATTGTGCCACCTAGCTGTTCCCCCCCCAGTGCAGTCCTTTTTTAAATCTCCCTGTCGTTAGTGCCCCCTCCCCTCCAGCTGCCCATGCTCGTGTCGCTTTGTATTTATTTTGTTCACATTTTAATGGAATAGAGGACTGTCAGGCATTCCTCATGTGAAGACCAGAGCTGGGTAGGAAATCGGACGTACGAATGCAAAAATCAAGAGAAAACTAGAAAGGTTCATGTATTCAGGCAGTTAAAGGGACTCTATGATGATAATGTTGGGCTAACATCCTTTTTTTTTCCTATTAAACATATTTTCACATCAGTGATGTTGTAAGTAAAAATTAAAACCAATAGGAGGAACCATCAGAGAGAGGAAACAAAACTCAACAGAAGAGGAAAAAAAAAGATAGTGATTCAACTTCAGTAATTCTTTCTTTGGATGTGGACAGCATTTTCCATCCCGAGGCTTCTGGAGGTGTCTTAGATCCTTGTATTGCTGGGAAGGGTTAAGTTTATCAATATTAGTCATCGCGCAGCAGGGCTGTTGGTGTGTACAACGTTCTCTTGGTTCTGATCACTTCAATCATCATTAGTTCATTCAAGTCTTTCCAGGTTTTTCTGAAGTCCGCCTGCTCATCATTTCTTACAGCACAATAGCATTCCATTACATTCATATACCACACCTTGCTCAGCCATTCCCCAATGGATGGGCATCCTCTCAATTTCCAATTCTTTGCCACCACAAAAAGAGCTGCTATGAATATCTTTGTACATGTGGGTCCTTTTCCCATTTGTTCGATCTGTTTGGGACATAGCCCTAGACGTGATATTGCTGGATCAAAGGGTATGCACATTTTTGTAGCCCTATGGGCATAGTTCCAAATTGTTCTCCAGAATGGTTGAATCATTTCACAACTCCACCAACAATGCATTAGTGTTCCAATTTTTGCACATCTTCTCCAACATTTCTCATTTTCCTATTTTGTCATGTTGGCCAATCTGATAGGTGTGATGTGGTACCTCAGAGTTGTTTTGATTTGCATTTCTCTAATCAATAGTGATTTAGAGCATTTTTTCATATGACCATAGATGGCTTTAATTTCTTCATCTGAGAACTGTCTGTTCATATCCTTTGACCATTTATCAGTTGGGGAATGGCTTGTGTTCTTATAAATTTGACTTAATTCTCTATGTATTTTAGAAATGAGGTTGGGCTAACATTCTAATAGAGAGCCAGGGCACTTGGGGAGCTAAGTAAGACAACAGAGTTGGGGGCAGGGGGTGAATTGGCTCAGTTCTGAGGGTCTGGAGAGCAGAGAGAAAAGGGGAGGGAAAGGAGGAACATTCACCTTCACCGGAGGGAAGAAAGGAGAAAAGCAATGGGCAAAGGACTTGCTATTTCTCACAATTGGAGCATGTGAGAATATCATATAAATATGGGCGAGGCATAAGAAAGCATCAGATGAACCTTATTCTTTTTTTCTATTTAATAATATTTTATTTTTTCCAATTACATGTAAAGAGAGTTTTCAGCTTTCACTTTTTTGTTGTTGTTTTTTAGGCAGTTGGGGTTAAGTGACTTGCCCAGGGTCACACAGCTAGTAAGTGTCAAGTGTTTGGTCTGAGGCCGGATTTGAACTCAGGTCCTCATGACTTCAGGGCTGGTGCTCTATCCACAGCTGACCTCAGCATTCACTTTTATAAGATTTTGAATTCCAAATTTTTTTCTCCTTCCCCCCCTCCCCAAAACAACATGCAATCTGATGTAGGCTATACATGTATAATTATATTAAACATATTTCCACATTAGTCATGTTGTGAAAGAAGAATCAGAACAAAAAGGAAAAAACCATGAGAAAGAAAAAACAAAGAAAGTGAAAATAGTCAGCTTCTATCTGCATTCAGACTCCGTAGCTCTTTCTTTGGATGTGGATAGCATTTTCCATCATGAATCCCTTGGAATTGTCTTAGATCATTGCATTGCTGAAAAGAGCTAAGTCTGTCAAAGTTGGTCATTGTACAATGTTGCTCTTACTGTGTACAGCATTCTCCTGGTTCTGCTTTCTTTGCTCACCATCAGTTCATGGAAGTCTAGATTCTTCTGAAATCTGCATGGACCTAAGTCTTATCTGAAATAGGCAAAGAAACACTGAACACATATGGCTTCATGCCGAAGTACCTCACCCTCAGCAGGAAAACAGATGGGGTTAGGGAGGGAGAGAGGCATTAAGAGGGTTGATGAAGTGCTGTTTGTTACAGGGGATAGAAAGGGGAGGGTACTGAGAAAAACTGTGGTGGCGCAAAAACCGAGAGTTCAATCAAAGCTTATTTTTAAAAATAGTAATGCCAGAAAGGGACTAGGCGGAAGCAAAACAAGCTTCCTGATCCTCGGAGGGTGAGAAGAAGAAAAGAAAACTCGGAGAACTGGAAACCAAGGAAGGAATGCCCATCAGCCGGGCTGCGGCCAAGCCGATTGCGGCATCTGCACGTAATGGAATATTACTGAGCCTCAAGAGGTTGCGAAAAGAAGATTTCAGACGGTCTTGGGAAGCGGGAACCAATGCAGAATGAACCGGGAACATGTTATACGATGACAATGTGCAATGACAAAGCAAAGCAGTGAAAGTAATCACCACCCGTGTCTTCCTAGCATAAAGCACGTTGCCCCGTCTCCTTACTCAAGTGGCAGAGAAACTCTGGACCTGCTGCTGGGGGGGGGGGGGGTTTGTTTAGCTTAACTGTGCTTACTTACTACAAGGGTCTTTTCTCTCTCTTTTTTTGTTGGACTTGGTGTAGGTCTAAGGAAGAGATGGATGGAGTTAGCAGTGGTGATGCTTTAAAAAAAAAAAGCCCTTGAAGCATTTTTGAAATACACAGAGCAAACAAAAGGATGTCCAGAAGGAAACAGACAGCCAGGATAAACTTGAAAGGAGTGTGCAGGCCGGCCAGCTTACCACTGCCCTTCCTTAATGATGACCCCAGAATTCAGCATGATACTCTAGATGGAATCTGATTAGAACAGAGTCTACAAAAACTCTTGAGTATGTTCTCAGATGAGCTCTAGTCATGTGCTGGCGTGTGTCAGACTCAGGGTTTGATCTCCATTCAAATTCACTGGACTCTTTTGAGGCTCAGAGGCATGGTGGATATAGAGAACTGTGCAAACTTGAAGTCGCCACGTAAGCTGATAGGATTTTAAGGCGCTCTACAGCCCACAAAGCACTTCCTGTGTATAATCTCCTTTGACCACAACAACCCTGTCTGAAGGGGTGTCCAGGTGAGGTCTGGTGAACCTCTGTGTTAGGACAATCCACCAGTGACCTGCATGCTGAACTGTAAGGCCCACTGGCTCCTTGTTGGCGGGTACCATCTTCCTTGGGGCTGGGAGAGCAGAGCAGGGGCCCCATTCATCATGCCTTTGGTAGATGGCTCAGGAGGCATTCCGTAACATCCCTCCCCCTTTGAGATCTTACAGATGGATCCTTTTGGGGCCTCCAACAAAGCTTTCCTCTCTGGGTTTGGTCAGGTCTCTGGGCCTGACCCAGAGAAAGTCAAGCGTGAGGGTCAGGAGCCTGTAGAAGCTGTAGGTGGAGTGTGTCAGCTCTCCTCAAGCATTTAAAGAAAGAACTGTCACAAGAAAGAGGTATTGGCCCCAGAGGGGCAGAACGACAGTATGGAAGATTGTCGGCAGCCGAAAAGTCAGACGTGTGAGAAAGAACCCTTTGATGACGTGAGCTGTCCCAAGGAGAACAGGTTTCCCAAAGGGAGACAGCGGGCTCCTCTTCACTGGAAGCTGAAGGACCTTATTGGTCTATTTTAAAAGTCCACGTTTTTCATAGAACCACGTATTTTACAGGGGAAGAAACTGAGGCAGCCCATAAAAGGGGAATACCTCGCCCAACGTCACCCACATAATGGGTGGCAGAACCGGCACCTTCAATCCCAATTCAAGCCCTCTTTCCGTTGGATTGCTCTCCATCCAATTTAACATAAGTACACTTGTGATGTGTCATCTCCAAAAATCAAAAATTTCAGGGACTCCAAGAAAGATACATGGCTATTATGGAGGTGAGGATGGTGAAAGTGAAAACAAAAAGAAAGAAAAAGCATTGGTGAAACGAAACATGCGAAAGGGGACAGAGACAAGCAGGCCAGTGTTGCAATGGTGGCGTTAAATACTTGTGAAAACCAAGTTGTGTGAAATCCGTGATGTCTGCAGAAAGCCCTTTGCTGTTTATTTAAGGAAATGTATTCCTATGTTCATTTTTGTTGATTTTTTTTAAGTTAGAGTGTGTCTCTAAAAATAAAATGAGCCAGAAAGGAACCTTTGAGAAAGCTGCATGGTGGGGAGAAGCTGGCTGTGACCTACCAGTGACCATGAGTCTTACAAGAAGTGCTGCACAAGTTATCAAACTCATACATCAACTCTCAGGCATTTATTAAGTCTCTACTGTATATCCTCAAGGCAAAGCCCAGTGCCTGGTATAGAGTAAGTGCAGCATAAATGCTCATTGAATGAATGTGGAATGAACGTATGAATGTCTACACAGATTAGTAAGTAGAAGAAAATTTGAGGAGGAAGACAACATTAACAAGCCTTGGGATTGACAAAAACTCCTGATGAAAGATGGGACTAGATCTGAGCCTTGAAGAAGTTAGGAATGGCAAGAGGCCAAGGTGATCAAGGAGTGCATTGCAGGCATGAGGAACAGGCTTCGTGGAGGCATGGCAGCAAGAGGTGGATTTCCGCAATGGGGATGGGCTGGTGGTCAGTGTGGATGAAATAGGAAATAGGAAGTAAGCCTGGAAAGGCAGGAAGTTGGACATTGCAGGGTATTACATGTCCCACCAAGGAGGCAAGAGGGAGCCACTGAATGCTTTGGAGCCTGGAAAGTGCCCTGGGGTGGCAGCTGCGTGGAGGGAGATTTGGGGAGAGGAGAGACAACAGGAGTCCAGTGAGTGTGAATGACCAAAAAAAGGATGTGGGAGTGACAGATGGTCAGCTCAAAGGCTTCCCACAGGAAAATCCCATCTGGAGGCCTAGGTCAGCTATGGTGGATTTATGGAAAGACTGGGACAAGAAACAGGATGAGAATGTGCACCTGTGTTGCAATCTGTGCTAGCGTACCTACCCTGAGATCCACAGAACTGCCAAAGAAAGCAACTGTTGTTCAGATAAGTTTTACTGTTGTATTTTTTTCCCCCTTAACATCCCAGTCACTTCTAGAGATCTTCCTTGACTCTCACCCAGGAGTGGGAGTAGAGGAGCCTCTTGTAATGAAGAATGGTTAAGCCACCATGGAAGAAAGCAGAGGACCTCTGTCATACTGCCCGGCTCACTTCTCGTCTCTGAGCCTTGGTTTCTTGCTCCAAAAAATGGGCTGGATGACCTCTGGCGTTTCCTCCAGCCCTCCATCTGTGATCTGTGAATCAGTTGGGGAAAGGGAGGAGTATTATAATAGGCAAATAATATTGAAAAGCTTTAGGAAAATGGCTTTGACCTTGCGAACCTTCTGGTACAGTCTCAGAGTCCTCCCAGGGTTCAAAGGACACACTTTGAGAATTTCCAAGTAACTCTGTAATGTCTGGATTTGGATGAAGGTCAGTCCAGGGTGCTCCTTACTCAAAGAGACAGCAAGGTGACCCATTGGACAAAACACTGAGTGAGGAAGATGTGTGACCCTGGCTGAGTCACCAAACCTCTGTGTGTCTCTACAAAATGAGAACTTCAAGTCTGTTATTAGGATCAAATGAAAAAGTAGATGGGCATTTGTATGCCGTAAAGGCCCATGTAGATGTTAGTATTCCTATAGTCATTACTGTGAGGTCCTTTGTAAAATATTCGGGTCCAAAGTACACTTAGGCAAAGCAAAAGTCTCTTTGGGTTGTTTTCTCTCTGACCCTTGGGAAAAAACTATCCCTGGGCACAGCACATTTGGCGCACTCCACACTTGGCCGTCTGACCTTTGGTTTATGCCGTAACGACAGGGGGAGCCAGGAAGAGACGTGAGGAAAACGGCTGGGCTCTGACTTTATGGGGCCAGGTGGCGAGGGCCTGGGGAGCCCAGGTGGCCTTCCTCTGCCAGCTTCCCTCCATACCCCGCCAGATTCGGTCAATTCTCCAGTTCTCATCAAAATTACTTCCCCTGTGGCATTGCATGGTTTTTCTGCTTCTCTTTGTCTTTTTCTTTTTTTCCTCTAAAAGGATATTCTTTGTTATGTTGGTATGGCTCTCTGAGAGGGAGAAGGGGAAAGATACTGGGAGAAATTTAGAAGATAGGAAACAAACAAAAAAAATCATTAAAAATTTATTGGTTTTTTTTTAAACTACTTTCTCTAGTTTCCCTGAGTTCCCCACCAACCAGATTTCTGGCCAAAAGGTGAGAAATAAAAAATAATTTGCCTGGATCTCCCCTGTGCCTTTATCCTGCTCTATCTGGAATCATACCCACCCATTAGAGGCATTGTCTTATAGCAGGTAGAGTTCTGCACCTGTTGTCCAAAAGACCAGTCCATTAATCTTGCCTTAGATACTAGATACTCAGATACTAGTGAGTCACTTGACTTTTCTTACCATCAAACAAGATGAACCTGTCGCCCACTTCTGCCCTTCCTCTGTGCTCAGGCAGAATGTCAGTCTGTCCCTGATTGGAGGGAACAGGAGAAAACCACTTGTGCCCTTTCCATTCCCTTCATATTCTCCTCTCTTCTCTTATAACTGGGGCCAGATCGAAAAAACTGCTGTGGGAAGAGAAGGGAAGAGCATAAGCATTTATTAAGCACCTACTGCATGCCAGGCATTGTGCTAAGCGCTTTTACAAGTATCTCACCTGATAATATTCCAGAAGAGTCAAGAAAGCATTTAGAAACACTAGCTGGGCCTGTTTCCCTACCTGTAAAATGAGGGGCTTGGAGTAAATCACTTCTGAGGCCCCTTCCAGCTCAAACACTTTGACCTTGCCCATCTCCCGTCTCCGATTTTCCTGTTGGACTCTGACTCGTCACAGTGTTACCATCATGCCCTGCTCTGCGTTCCTTCGTACCCTGCCCCTCCCCCACCACACCCTGCCTTATGTCATTACCACCCTCCTCCCAGTGAAGCTCCTGGGGGCAGACACTCTTTGTGCTTTCTTTTTGTATCATTGATTGATTATACTAAGGGCAGCAGCTCTGCTTATTTATACTTGTATTTCATAGAGCGAGGGTGCTTAACCTGGGGGTCCCTGAACTTTAAAAAAACAAAAACAACCTAGGGCCAGCTAGGTGACGCAGTGGATAAAGCTCCTTGGAGTCAGGAAGACCTGAGTTCAAAAATCTGACCTCAGACACTTGACGCTTACTAGCTGTGTGACCTTGGGCAAGTCACTTAACCCCGATTGCCACACCCCAAAACCCCCCAAAAACCTGATCACTGTACTCCAATGTCACTGGCTTCTTTCAAAATCCTATGCGTCTATGCTTCCGCCTCTTTTTTGTATCCCTAAGCACTTGGCACGTTGCCTGGCACATAGTAGGTGCTTAATAAATGTTTATTGACTGATTGGCTATGCATTTAGAAACATGATTCTGGAAAGACACTGGATTTCACCAGACTGCAGAAGGGGACAGAAAACCACAGACATAACAAGGCTTCAGGTCTTCTGTTTAGAGCCTCATTGGAGTGCCTTGCACACAGTAAGCACTTAATAAGTGTCTACTGAATGAGTGCTGAGCTGAGGTGACAGATACCTCCCATGGCCATCTGCAGGAGGGGCAGGGACCTTAACATCTTTCCTGATTCTCAGATTCAGACTTCATTTTGCTGAGTTGGGATGCTTTCCTCGAGCAGAACCTGAAGAATGGGGGTTGTAGCCACAGTTACAAATAACAAAAATGCATGGGCTCCAGGTAATTTTCCCACTTGGAGGCCTTATGGAGGATTTATGGAAAGACGGGGACACTGAATATTCTGTCGGATGACTTGTTTCCTTCTCCTTCCCCCCTTTTTTATTCTTTGGTGCCAGGGACGGCTCACTGGGTAATAGGAGAGGGACAGATACAATTGGAAATGAAAGTGATATAAAAACCAAAGATTTGAATGAATTCTTTAATCCAATCATTAAGCCTGAAGATGGCCCCAAAGGGCAGAACTCATCTGTTGAATGAGCTGGAGGACATGGCAAACCACTCTAGTATCTTTTCCATGAAGACCCTAGGTGGGGCTATGAAGAGCTGGATGTGACTGAACACCAGCAATTATTCCAATTCTAAACAAAGGCCTGGCCCTGTCATCTCATCAGGGTCACTGGGGGAGCTTGCCCTCTTTAGTAACCAAGCATCCTTCAGGGATCTCCGATAGCCCCATTTGGATTCCTCTCTCCATTGACAATGGCAATGCCTCTCTGAGATTCGTTTCCCTGGGGCCCAGCTGTGGGTGAGTCTCCGACTTCAGCTCAGCAAGGCCTTGGTGGGACCTTTCAGAGCTTAAGCTCTGTTTGCTCAGATTTGGAGAACCCAGGGTCACCTCAGTGCCATGTTGGAGGGAGGAATATATTTGGAAATGAAGTCAATGTCAAAACAAAAGGTACCTTTTTAAAAAATAAATATTAAAAAAAAAATTGTAGGGTTTTAGAAGCCCATCGTGGGCTACCTGGCTTTGCTATTGGGCAATATTGAGGAAAAGGAGGGAATGTAGCTGGTGGGGTGGGAAGTGACAGAAACAGGGTGGGGGGAAGGAGGGAAAAAAGGGGGGAGAAAGAGAAAGAAAAGGAGGGAGGGAAAGAGAAGAGGAGAGAGATGCCCCTGAGTCTCCCCTCTGGTAGAAGGGGCAGAAGGTAAGATTGAAGGAAGAGGCCCCGTCAAGACCAACCCCTCATTATTAAACGATAAATGAACTTGTATGAGATAGAGAATGTTGGGCCATGAACCTGGAGCCAGAAGGGGCCTTTGCAGAGGAGAAACTGAAGCCAGGAGGAGAGTCTCTGTCTTGGCCAAGATCCCATAGCTATTGAGGGGTGGAGCCGGGACGAGCCACAGCCTTGGCACTCAGTCCCTCATGCCACGTGTGCCATCTTCAGGCCTAATGATTGGACTTTTAAAAATTCACTAAAGTCTTTGGTTTTGTATCACTTTCATTTTCAGTTATATCTGTCCCTCTCCTACTACCCAGCGAGCTGTCCCTGGTAACAAAGAGTAAGAAAAGAAAGAGGGGAAGGAGAAGGAAACAGGTCATCTGACAAAATATTCAGTGCCCCACAACCAGAGGCCCCCACCTCTGTAAAGAAGGGAGAAAGATGCATTTTCTCCTTTGTTTTTTAAGGCCAAATATGTTCATAATAATTACTCAATGTTTGGTCTGCGGTTTTCTTTTATTCACACTACTATAGTCACTATAATTTCTCCTGGTTTCACTCACTGCATCAGTTCATATAAGTCTTCTCTGAATTCTTCCCACTCATCACAAAAGAGTCCTCCAATGGCTGTTCTTTCAACGATTTCCACTTTGTTTCCCTCCTTATTTTAACAAAACTCCCTGCTATAATATTGTGAGGAGTCGAGTTGACCTCAGAATCCTGTTTCCTGGGTGAGGGCCTCTGCCAAGACAGGGAGAAAAGCCTCAGAAGTATCTCCGGTGCTCTTGATTTCACCAGGTGATGGCTGTATTTCATTCTCTTGAGTCAAAGGCTCTTTAAAAAATCGACTGGCCCCAGCCCAGCGGATATCCTGTTCTCTGTACTCTTCAGTCGATTGTGTGACTGCAAAGATGGGGCCTGCCCTGAAAAATTAGCTGCGAAAGCTTGGTGGCCACATGCTCACTAATGCATTGTTAGTGGAGCTGAGAATTGGTCTAAACCTTGTAGAAATCAGTTCGGAATTACGTCAGACCCTTTGACCCAGAGGAAGTCAGACAAAGGAGGCCAAATGAGATAATACTCTAAAGCACTTAGCAGGTGCTCAGTGCACAGTAGATATTTAAAAGTGCTTGTCCCCTCCTTCCCCTCAGACATAGAACCAAAGGTGTGATATGAACCAAAATATTCACAGCAGCACTTTTTGTGACAGCAAAGAACTGGAAATAAAGTGGGTGTCCATTGGTTGGGGCATGGCTAAACATATTGTGGTGTGAGCAGGCAGTGACGTGGAATTGCGCCATAATTTCTTATGATGTACGAGGGGTCACAAGAAGACGAGTGTGGGCAGGTGCGGGGCAAAGGTAAGCAGAGCCAGAAGAATAGCACGCTCTGGTGACAGCCTTGTGAATCAAAGGAAGGTGGGGTGTGTGACTGTAATGACCGTTCTTGGCCCTGGAGAAGAGATGAAGTGGCCTCGCCTTTCACTGGGGACTTAAAGGACCGTGGGTGTGGGGTATCACCATAAGTCCTGGGGACTGGCCAATAGACGTCCTGCCTCAGAACACGGGCTGTGCGCCCCACCTGAAGACTGGGGACCCTGCTTCTAGAAATGCATGACAACACGGTTAGTGGAGTTGTGAACGAATCCAACCATTCTGGAGAGCAACGCCCAAAGGGTTATAAAAATGTGCACGCCCTTTGATCCAGCAATACCACTGCTAGGTCTGTATCCCAAAGGCATCCAAATAAGGGAAAAGGACCTATTTGTACAAAAATATTTATAGCAGCTCTTTTTGTGGCGACTAAGAATTGGAAATTGCAGGAATGCCCATCGGTTGGGGAATGGCTGTGGTATACAACTATGATGGAATGCTACTGTGCTATAAGAAATGATGAGCTCGAAGATCTTAGAAAGACATGGAAAGACTTGCATGAACTGATGGAGAGTGAGGGGAGCAGAACCAGAAAAACACTGCACACTGTAATGGCCACAGTGTGTGATGACTGACTTTGATAGACCAGGCTCAGATTGGAGGGCGGAAGGGAATAAGCATTTATATGGCACCAGCTGTGTGCCAGGAACCATGCTAAGCACTTTTACAGATATCACCTCATCTGAGCTTCGTGACAAGCCTGGGAGTTGAGTGCTGATGAGGAAACTGAGGCAGACAGGGGTTGAGTGACTTTCCCAGAGCCAGATTTGATCTCTTGCCTTTCTGCCTCCAGCTCCGGCACTCTGGGCACTGTGGCAATGCAGTGCAAAGATCTAAGACAATCCCGAAGGACTTAGGAGGAAGTATCCTGTCTGCCTCCAGAGAAAGGACTGATGTTGTTTGAATACCATCTGCAACAGGACATTTTTTTCCTTTCTTTTTTTCCTTTTATTCGAGTCTTCTTGTCCAAAATGACTGATATGGAAATGTGTTACATAATTGCACATGTATAACCTGTGCTCGATTGCTTACTGTTTGAGGGAGAGGGGAGGGGAGGGGAGGGATAGAATTTGGAACCCAAGGGCAGCTAAGTGGCGCAGCGGATAGAGTGCCAGCCCTGAAGTCAGGAGGACCTGAGTTCAAATCCGACCTCAGACCGAACACTTGACACTAGCTGTGTGACCCTGGGCAAGTCACTTACCCCAGTTGCCTAGCTGAGAGAGAGAACAGCCCTGGAGGCCTTGAAAGGTTGGAGGCCCAGAGGCCCAGGGACAGGGTCTGTGCCAGGGTTTGCCAACAGTTAAGCCCCAGGGATGAGGGACTTTGATCACGAAGCTACAGATTTCCTGCAAACAAGGATAAGTAACTTTGTTGGCTCTGCATCAGTACATGAACTTAGGGCAGCTCGGTGGTGCCACAGCGCCCAGAGTGCCAGAGCTGGAGGCAGAAAGGCCCGAGATCAAATCTGGCTCTGGGAAAGTCACTCAACCCCTGTCTGCCTCAGTTTCCTCATCAGCACCCAACTCCCAGGCTTGTCATGAAGATCAAATGAGGTGATATCTGGTAAAGTCCTTAGCACAGTTCCTGGCACACAGTTGGTGTCATATAAATGCTTATTCCCTTCCCCCCTCCAATTTGAGCCTCTTCTCCCCAGGGGCTTTGGTCATTCCATCAGTGAGCGCCTGCCTATTAAGCACCTGCTATCTGGGCACCA